CACAGCGAGTGGCCTAGAGGGACAGAAACAGCCTGGAGCTTCCTGCCAGCCATTTCTCCATCCGCTCCATTCCAGTCTGCTGTGAAGCTTATTTATTCAGCACCACATTTTTATATTTCAAAAGATTATTTTCCCATCAAGCAAAGTCTGAAAATCATTATTCTCTCCTGTTTCGCTTCAGCAGCTCTTAAAGGGACAGTTCACCCGAAATTAAAAGTACCGTCGTCATGTACTCGCCCCAGTGTTGTTTTAGTGTCACTGAAAAACTGTTAAAGTTGTTGGTAATATTTTGAATTGGGTTTTGTTTTTATATTTTAATTTTTGTTAAAATGTATGTAATTTTATGTTTTTATTATTCCTATATTTACTATCTTTTTAAGTGTTTCAAATCAATTTTAAATATAAATTGTTTTAGTTATTAGTTTTAGATATTTTATTGATTCAAGTTAAATTAAATGAAAATGAGAATTTTTTATTAGTATTTTTTTATTTTTTTGTCTATATAGTTTTTATCAAGTGTAGTTTTTAGTTTTAGTTTATTTAGTTATTTTAGTACTTCAACTTGAACTAAATGAAAAATGTTGGTTTGGCAACTAGCCAATAAAATAAAATAAGTTTTTTTTATTAAATATTTAATTTATTTTAGTTAATAAAAATAAGATAAACGTTTTTTTGTGTTTAATTTAATATATTTTGGTTAATGTTTATGTTCATTGTATTATTTAAAATTTTTTAAAATAAGTTTAAGTTTTTATATTCAATTTATTTCTGTTAATGTTTATTTTGTTTATTTTATTTGTATTTAAAATTTTTATTTAAAATACGTTTTTTATATTTAATTTATTTCAGTTTTTATTTTTATTATTATAATTTTTTTTTATATAGTTTTAGTTTTAGTTAAAGATAATAACCCTACAAGATACCCTACAGATACAATCATTTTATATGATGAACATATTTTATTTAGCCTTTTATTTACATCTAAACAATTATCTAAACCTCTCAGGGCATTACAAATATCTTAATTTCTGTTTTAAAGATTGACCAAAGTCTTATTGGTTTGAATTATGACGGAGTTTACATTTCTGGGTGAATTATTCCAGTAAGTTGAGCCTGTTTTTCTGCGTGTCTTGTTTTTATACACCAGTAAAAGCACACAGAAGCGCCGTCAGTGTTTGTTTGACAGAATCTGTGCTTCATAACACGTCTTGGCTGTGTAAATACTCTCGGAGGCGTCTGTGTGTGACCGTCTTGAATATTTAAGAGTGTGTGTGTGTGAGTGTGTGTGTGTGTCGTTGTGTGTGTGTGTGTCGTTGTGTGTGTGTGTCGTTGTTTGTGTGTTGTTGTTTGACTCAGTTGTCATGATTTTCCCGCTGCGCTCTCGCGTTGGACTCCTGCATCTCATTATCTGAAAGGTGTTTGTCAGTGGCTCGTACCTTCCTTCCGTCTCGTCTCGTCTCGCTGACACTGAGACGCGCTGAATAACAAACTGCTGCCGCTTCAGGAGGAAAATAACAGAAGCAACATCAACATTCATTAAATTGGCTCTAATGTCTCTTTAGATGCTTTAAATGCATCTGCATTTCATGATGTTTGCTAAACTACATGTATATACACTAGTCAGCATTTGAAGTGGTTCTAAAGTTTTCATTAAAGTTGTCCTAAAACCTAAAACCAAAATGCGTTCTTGTCTTAGGGCAACTTTGATGAACTTTATTGATCCACTTCAAATGCTGACTATTATATATATATATATACAGTATCTCACAGAAGTGAGTACACCCCTCACATTTTTGTTAATATTTTATTATATCTTTTCATGTGACAACACTGAAGAAATGACACTTTGCTACAATGTAAAGTAGTGAGTGTACAGCTTGTATAACAGTGTAAATTTGCTGTCCCCTCAAAATAACTCAACACACAGCCATTAATGTCTAAACCGCTGGCCACAAAAGTGAGTACACTCCTAAGTGAAAATATCCAAATTGGGCCCAAAGTCGAGTTTCACAATTTGAGTTGAATTACTGAAATAAATGAACTTTTCCATGACATTCTAATTTATTGAGATGCACCTGTATATACTGTTACAAAAGATTTATTTTTCAAATTTCTATTCATCTGTGAATCCTGAAAAATAAAATGTATCACAATTTTCACAAAAATATCCGGCAGCACTGTTTTCAACTTTGATAATTGTTAATAATTTGATAATTTTACCATTTTTTACAATAATAATATAACAATTATAACAATATCAATATGATATCAGTATTTTTGTTTTATTTTTTGTATTTGTTTTATTATTTTTAATAAGTATTCAATTGAATGTTTAAAAATGTTTTGATTTGGTTTTTATTTTTATGTTTTCTATTTTCATTATACTATTAGTTAAAGTTTTAGTAATTTTGTTGTGTTTGTTGTTTTTAGTATTTCTATTTATACATTTTATTTTGTATATATATATATATATATATATACAGTATATATATATTCACACATACATATATTCACATATGCATTTAATCAAAGAAATCAATACTTTTATTCATTAATGACACATTAAATTGATCAAAAGTTTCAGTAAAGACATTTATAATGTTACAAATGTCAAATTTCTATTCATCTGTGAATCCTGAAAAATAAAATGCATCACGGTTTCCACAAAAATATTATGCAGCACAACTGTTTTCATCATTGATAATAATCAGAAATGTTTCTCAAGCAGCAAATCAGCATATTATTATGATTTCTGAAGATCATGTGACACTGAAGACTGGAGTAATGATGCTGAAAATACAGCTGCGCATCACAGAAATAAATTACAGTTTAACACATATTCACATAGAAAACAGCTGTTTTAGATTAGAATAATATTTCACTATTTTTACAGTGTTTTTGATCAAATAAATGCAGCCTTGCTGAGCAGAAGAGACTCTTTCAGAAACATTTTAACACTAAGATGTGTTTCTATTTATTTACTGCACACAGACGTGTTGAGTTTCAGAATGAAAGACTTTTCTCTCAAAGTAGTTTTTCTGTTTCTTTAAGTCTTCTAAAGGTTACCGTGCTGGAAATGAAAGAGCGTTGCAGGTTAAATCTGACTCGTCTCTCCTTCTGCTGTGATTCATGCCTCGAGAAACCACAACACTTTCCTTCTAACCTCAATCACAGAGCCTGCTAACAGAAGCGCTTCACTCCGAGATGCTCGTCAGAAAGCTGCGTTCCGGTGGTCTTTTCTTCGGTGAATATCAAGCCGTCATTAAGCAGAAAGAGCCGATGATCAGCCGTGTCTCCCGCAGATGAAGCTGGTGTCATCATTGTGTTTAGCACAATCACCGCAATCATATCTCTTGTCTCTAGACGAGGACTATCAAGCTCTATTTCTGTCTCACCTCCACACTTACACAGAGAAACGGCAGAGACCAGCCCCACGGCCCTCAGAAGCCAGCGCTGAAGTGTATTTTCATAATTAGCTGTAATTGCGCGGCGAGCGGAGCATTAATGTTTGATGAGTTTCTGTTGAGGAGGAACAAACGTCGGCTGCGTTTCTCTTTCTGTCTGTCTCTCTTGTGCTTTCATGTGGTTCGATGTAAAACTCACGCCGTGATCGAGCTCCTGCGGTCAGCGCTTGCCTCAGAAAATAATATTAACTAAACCCTCAGATTAAAAATGCTAGAAGTGGATGCAATGCAATAAACATTGCTTGCTATGTTGTGAGTGTGTACCTATGTAGGCAGCACTTTAAGGCATTATACTGTAGGTGGGATTATGCCACTTTATAAGATGTTTTCTTTTTATTTTAGCTTAACATTGCATGAATTCTTTGTGCATAAGATAATCCCAGAATGCATTGCAACAAGTAAAAAAAATATGCAAGATGGCAGATGAGGCAAGAGAAATGTTGAGAATGTTAAAAATGGGCTGTGTGTTTTAATTTATTATGTATTAGAAGTATGTGTAAATATTATAGATTGTAGAAAATTACAACAATGTTACAATAAAATGTAATGTTAAATATTTTGATAAAATTTAAATATTAAATAATTTAAATATACATTTTTTATTTTATTTTATTAATAGGCTATTAACATTTTTGTTTGATTTTAATATTAAAATATAAAATTCAATGTTAATAATATGCTATTGATATTTTTATTTGATGTTAATATTAAATAATTTAAAAATTAAATTAAATGTTTCATGATAATTTAATAGTTTTAATAATATACTATTAATATTTTTGTTTGATATTAATGTTAAGTAATTTAAATACATTTTCAATTAAATGTTCAAAATAGTTTAAGAATTGTATTAATGCGCTATTAATATTTTTTGTTTTGTTTCAATTTTAAATGATTTAAATAAATGTTCACTTAAATGTTTAATGATAATTTAACCATTTTAATAATAAACTATGAATGTTTTTGTAGGATTTTAATATTATATAATTTAAATAAAAATTCAATGAAATGTTTATTAATAATTTAACAATTTTAATAATATAATATCAGTATTTTTGTTTGATTTTAATTTGAAATATGTATTTAATGAAATGTGTAATAATAATTTACCACTTTAAAAATGTACTATTAATATTTTTATTACTTTTAATATTAAATGGAGTTTTCAATTAAATGTTTAATATTAACAGTAATTTGTAACAAATTTTATTATATAAAATTAATATGTTAATTGATTTTAATATAATAAATAATTTAAATATTCACTATTTTGAACAATAGTAATATGTTTGCTTGTGCTGTGTATTGTTTGCTTGTTAGAGTAAACATGCTCATGTCAAACTCTAGAGTAATTTGAAATGATTTTCTGTGGTAATGGAGATGCTGCACGTTCTGTTTCATGATCATAAATTTCATTTTCCTCTTTTCTCTGGCTGTTTATGTCCGACTACATTCTCATGTGTTGCCCTGACCTTTGACCTGCTGTTCGTCACTCATGTTCGTTCTGCTAACCGTGTTTTTGTCGTTGTCTTTTAGAGCTTCTTTGAAGGGCAGGCGGCGCCGTGGGACTCGGCCAAAAAAGACGACAAACCTGTGTGAGTGTGTGTGTGCGCGTGAGTGAGTGTGTGTGTGTGTCTGTGTGTGTGTGTGTGAGTGAGTGTGTGTGTCAGGACGTTGCTTTAAGATCGGCGGTTTTCCCATGAGCCTCTGGGCCTCCGTCAGCGTGAGCCGATCACAGCGCAGGAGCTGCAGGCATGAGCAGCATTCACTCTGAGCGAAACGAGCGCGTCACATCGCTTCAGCGTCTCTCTGACAGAAAAACACACGAGTTTGTCAATTGAGTTTAGCTGCTCAAGTTGGTAATAAGTGTTTTGTCTAATTTTAATATTTAATAAATGTAATTATTTATTATTAATTATTATTAATATTTTTTAAATATGTTACTATTAATTAACAGGTCTCCATTCACCTGTTGTTTTCTGAAACTTAGTCATTATGTTATATATAATGTATGAATATAATTTATATTAAATTATAATACTGCTGTTATTTTTTTATTTATTTCATGATTGTGAAATTAACTGAATGAAAAAGTGAATGACAGTTTCATTTTAAGTTTTGTGTGAGTGTGTGAGTGAGTGTGTGTGTGAGAGCGAGTGTGTGTGTGAGAGCGAGTGTGTGTGTGAGAGCGAGA